CACTCCCTACATTTGCTACTAAATCACTGTCTCATTTTTTACCTGTTTTATATGTGACTGCAAAGCTCCAAAATAGTCAGTGTGTCTCTGTCAGCTGACAAAGTAGGTGAATCCAAGAGCACAGTGACATCACCCATCGGCGTCCATACCTCCAGGGTGGTGTCGGCCAGCTGAGAAATCACAAAAGCAGCAACATGAGAGAACGGGGATAGAGCCAGAACCTTATGGTCACCTGGCAACTTCCAACTGACAATGCAGGTGAATCCAAGAGCGTAGTGACGTCACCCACCGGCTTTCATACTTCCAGGGTGGTTTCGGCCAGCTGAGAAATCACAAAAGCAGCACCAACATGACAGAAGGGGGATAGAGCCAGAACTTTATGGTCACCTGGAAACTGCCAGCTGACAATGCAGGTGAATCCAAGAGCGCAGTGACGTCACCCACCGGTGTCCACACGTCCAGGGCGGTGTCATCCAGCTGAGAAATCACAAATGCAGCACCAACATGAGAGAAGGGGGATAGAGCCAGAACTTTACGGTGACCTGGAAACTGCCAGCTGACAATGTAGGTGAATCCAAGAGCATAGTGATGTCACCCACCGGCATCCATACCTCCAGGGCGGTGTCGGCCAGCTGAGAAATCACAAAAGCAGAAACATGAGAGAAGGGGGATAGAGCCAGAACTTTATGGTGACCTGGAAACAACCAGCTGACAATGCAGGTGAATCCAAAAGCACAGTGACATCACCCACCGGCGTCCAAACCTCCAAGGCATTGTCGGCCGGCTGAAAAATCACAAAAGCAGTAACAACATGAGAGAAGGGGGATAGAGCTAAAACTTTGTGGACACCTGGCAACCTAAATAACTGTATTTAGATTGTGATTTAGTAGAAAATTTCTACGGGAAGTATTTAAGCTGCAGGGAAGAAACACTTAACATCTATGCTGTTGTGTAGTCTTTACTTCCACTTTAAAAATCATATCAATGTCCCATTCACATGGCCAGTTATGGCAAAACACCACCAAGAATCAGAATATTTCTGTGGCAGGGATCATATGTGTTTGCAATCATCCATGACCACGAAGCCTGTACAAATAAATGACAGGCTGACAAGCACTGCGACTGTCCACATGTAACTAGACATCAATTACATGCAATTAGAACAGATGAGTGGCCATGGAAGTAATATGCGTTCAGCGCTGCTCTTCTGTCCCTAACCACGTGATGTGCAGTTACATTCAAACAACCATGGCACTTGTCAGCCTGTCTTTGATTTTCACAGGCTTCCTGACCATGGCTGATTGTAAACACTTGGCCATACCCACCACAGGAATATTCTGAATATTGCTAGTTTATGGCCCTGATCAGCATTTGAATAAGGATGTACACTTTAAAGCTTATGGGCTCATTCACATAGGCACAATATATGTTGTGTATTGTGTATAGTTTTTTATGCATCTGTATACTAGTTTATGGGTCCATTCATACAGCTGCACATAGTAGCATAAAATAAATGAACATATAGCACCCTCCTAGTCAGCTAGGGAGAGCTACACTCCAATTGTTAGCAAGAAGGGCTTAGTAGCAGCCTGGGTGTGATAGCTAGCAGGGGTCGAATTATGGTCAGAGCTCAGAGGCTCTGTAGACCAGCTCTCTGGAATTTACCCTTGCTCTAGAATTTTGGAGAAAGGTCTAAAAGCAGTGGGTGGATCTTAGGAGTGACTGGTCTGTACTCTTAGAGGAATCTGGCCAATCCCCAAAAGGAGGCTTGGCAAGTTGCAAGGACAACCTTTAAGAGTTACTGAGCCTGCTCAGTAGGAGAATTGGAGAGAAGCTGGGTGGAATATAGAGAGGATGTGATGCTGGAGAGAGAAGCCTAGGAGGGGGCCCAGATGTGATGGTGTTTGGTAGCAGTACCACCCACTTAATGCAACAAGGGGTAAAATTTATGCCATCACTGCGGCATGCATACAACACTATCTGGCTGCCATTGCATCTAACAGAGGGGAAGGGGTGGTAAAATGTGGCTCATCCATCTATTGCTGGGAGGGATCTACTGTTAAGAGAGGGGGTCTATTGATGTTGTCTGCTGGGACATTTGTTGTTGCAGGCAGCAGCCTGTCTTTGCTGGAGTGAATTCATTGTTACTTGGAGGGGGCATTTTGCTCAGAGGAGCAATTGTTGCTGGAAGGAACCATTGTTGGGGGGGGGGGGGGGGGTCTATTGTTGCTGGTAGATCCATTGTAACTGTGGGGGTCTATTATTCCTGCTGGTGGGGAATCTAATTTATTGCCTTATTTATTAATAACAAATTATACAAAGTACTTAGCCTGACAAAATGATACTTGCTTCTGTATTTTCTTGGAGGTGGAACCAAGGAATGGTGCTCAGAAGTGAGTAGGGGGCAGAGACAATAGGTGACTCAGGGCATAGTATCTGCACCTATTCTTTAAGATAAAAGCCCTGCACATGATTTTGCTTTTCTGGGTAGGGGGCACATACGCACACCTACCCGCACCGCACAGTTGGCTCCTGTACATGTCAATCACTAAATCCTGGACAGAGATTCCTGGCTGGGACCTGGCGATCGGCAAAGCAACTGACGAGAGAAATCTGTGAATGTAAAACACAAATCTCTCTCCTGTCAGTGGGGATGTGCCATTTTTTTATCTCCCTACAAAGGTGAGCATAAAAACCAGCACATCCCCTAGTAAAACCACACAGTAAAAACACTCCCTGGCACACAGTTAACCCTTTGATCGCTAACCCTTCCCTTAGTGCAGTTACAGTAATTTTTATTAGGACTGATCACTGTATTAGTGTCACTGGAGATGCCAGTTAGTCAGTTTCCACCCACTGTCAGAATGCCCGCCCTGCTATCATAGTCCCGCAATAAGTCGCTGATCGACTATACCATTGTTTGTAGATGTTATAATTCATGCAAACTAATTAAAAGAGATGCACAGCCAAAGCTCTTTTTGTTGTACTTCTCCTATGACCCATTTTCAGCTGACAGGGTTGAAGCTTGCTGTCGACTGACATCACTCAGCAGGTCCAGGGTGGGGAAAGATCCTGACTGTAAAGTCAGGATCCAACCCAGACTCTGGAGCGGGACCTGGCTCAGCCTCTCAGTGATCTGATAAGAGCATGTGCCAGCTGCTCCCTCCCCCTCCACAGCCCAGCACTCCAGTGAGTGCTGGGGGGGGGGGGGGGGACAGCAGACAGCGGTAACTGAGAGTCACTCAGCGATCAGATGATGATCCATGAGTTCTCACACTTAGAGCCTGCAGGGGACCGATGCTGCATCCACCTAAGGAAGTAGTATAATTTAGAAGAAAAAAAAATCCCCACTTCTCTTTTAGTATACTCTTACTGGGGTTTTTGTTTTACCAAAGACATGCAGCAAAATACATTTTGGCCTAAATTTAGGAAGAAATGTTTATTTGATATGCTTTATAGCAAAAAATAAAACATATACAGTTAGGTCCATATATATTTGGACATAGGCACAATTTTTGGCTCTGTATACCACCAGAATAATCTAAAACAAAACAATCCAAATGAATTTGAAGTGTGCTTTCAGCTTTAATTCAAGGGGTTGAACATAAATATCAAGTACAAATTTTAGAAACTGCAACCATTTTTATACACAGTCCCTCCATTTTCAGGGGCTCAAATGTAATTGGACAAATTAATATAATCAAATAAAATGTTCAATTTTAATATTTTGTAAAGAATCCTTTACTGGCAATGACTGACTGAAGTCTGGAACCCATGGACATTACCAAGGACTGGGTTTCCTCCTTTCTGATGCTTTGTCAGACACTAATTGCAGCTGTCTTCAGTTGTTCTTTGTTTGTGGGTCTTTCTTTTAGTTTTGCCTTCAGCAAGTGAAATGCATGCTCAGTTGGGTTGAGGTCAGGTGATTGACTCGACCATTGCAGAATATTCCACTTCTTTTGCTTCAAAAGCTCCTGGGTTGCTTTTGCGGTGTGTTTTGGATCATTGTCCATCTGTACTGTGAAGCGCCGTCCAATCAACTTTCCTGCATTTTGCTGAATCTGGGCTGAGAGTATATTGCTAAACTCTGCAGAATTCATCCGGCTGCTTCTGTCTTCTTATCATCAATAAACACCAATGACCCAGTGCCACTGGAAGCCATGCATGCCCATGCCATCGCACTGCCTTCGCCATGTTTTACAGATGACGTTGTGTGCTTTGGATCATGAGCTGTTCCAAGCCTTCTCCACACTTCTTTCTTCCTATCATTCTGGTACAGATTAATCTTAGTTTCATCCATCCAAAGAATGCTTTTCTAGAACTGGTCTGGGTTTTTTTTAGATTTTTTTTTTGGCAAAGTTTAACCTGGCTTTTCTATTCTGGTTTATGAATGGTTTGCACCTTGTGGTGAACCCTCTGTATTTGCTCTCGTGAAGTCTTCTCTTGATTGTAGACTTTGACAATGATACGCCCACATCCTGGAGAGTGTCCTTCACTTGTCTGGATGTTGTTAATGGGTTTTTCTTTACCATAGAGAGGATCCTGCGATCATCCACCACTGTTGTCTTCTGTGGACGTCCATTCCTTTTTATGTTGCTGAGCTCACCAGTGCGTTCTTCTTTCCTAAGAATGTACCAAACTGTTGATTTGGCCACTCCTAATGTTGCTGCTATCTCTCTGAGGAATTTGTTTCATTTTTGAAGCCTTACAATGGCCTGTTTCACTTGCATGGACAGCTCCTTTGAACGCATGATGTAGGTTTACAGCAATAGATTCCAAATGCAAATACTACACTTAGAATCAACTCCAGACCTTTTATCTGCTTAACTTCACGTCTGCTCTACAGTAGAAATACTGCTACAGGGCAGCACGGGTGCGCAAAATCACATATTTATACGTGATTCTGCATTTCCAGGTAGGGGGTGCACCCTACCCACGCCACCATTCGTGGCCGCGGCTGTCAATCACTGGGTCCCAGACGGTGATTACTCGCTGGCGCCTGGTGATTGCCAAGGATCTCCAAAGGGGAAAACTGTTTGTAAACAAAAGCTCTCCGTCAGCTCCTGTACACTGCTTTGCATGGCACAGGGCCCCATAGTAAAACACACCCACCACACAGCCCTTTGATCACCCCTCATGTTAACCCCTTCCTGCCCAGTGCCATTAGTACAGTGTCAGTATTTTTTTGGGTTTTTTTTTTTAGCACTGATCACTGTATTGGTGTTACTGGGGATGTCAGTGACACCAAGTCAGTTCCTCCCAGTGTCAGAATGCCTGCTGCAGTCCCGCAATAAGTCGCTGATCGCCGCTATTACTAGTAAAAATTATTTTAAAAAATCCCAGTATATATACTGCCATTTCTAAACGCTATAACTTTAATGTAAACCAATTTACACATATTGGGATTTTTGTTTTAGCAAAGACATGTAGCAGAATACATTTTGGCCTAAATTTATGACAAAATTTGATTTTTTTACTGGACACTTAATAGCAAAATGTCAAAAATATTGTTTTTTCTTCGCAAAATTGTCAGTCTTTTTTTTTTTTTTTTTAGCACAAAAAATTTAAAACGCACAGGCAATCAACTAGCACAGAAAAAAAGCTCAATTTGCAGGGACAAAAAAGGATGTAAATTTAATTTTGGTGCAGCGTTGCATAGCTGTGCAATTGTCAGTTAAAGTAACACAATGCCATAATGCAAAAAATGGCCTGGTCAAGAAGGGAGGTAAATCCTCAGGAGGGCAAGTGGTTAATTGATGTAGAAATAATGGAGTAGCCCACACCTGGTCATGAAACAGCTGTAGATTCAATTGTCCAATTACTTTTGGTCCCTCAAAAAAGGGGGGATGGCTACTCTTAAGAGCTGTAATTTCTAAACCCTTCCTCCAGTTTGGATGTACATACCCTCAAATTAAACCTGAGTGAGCACTTTCAGCCCATATCCATTATAGAACTATAGCTTGAATTTTTTCATAAATACCTGAAAATAAACTGATAGGGTTTATAGCCCTCCCATACTCTATACCAGGTCTACAAACATTCTAAGCAAAGGGCCAGTTGACTCTCCTTCAGGCTTTAGGGGGCTGGACTGTGGCAAGTGGGAGTAGAAAATGCCCCAGCATTAATGCGCCGTGATTGGTTTCAATGGGAGGAATATAGCCCCCTTGTTGGTGTCAGTGGGAAGAATAGTGCCACATCAATGGCGCCAGTAGGAGTAAACAATGTCCCATCTTTGGTATTGGTGAAACATTAGAGCCCCACTGTTGGTATTAGTGGTAGGAATTGTGCCCCATTGTTGGTGCCAGTTGGGGGAACAGTGCCCCTCATTGGTACCAGTTGGGGGAATAGTGCCCCATCATTGGTACCAGTTGGGGGAATAGTGCCCCATCATTGGTGCCAGTTGGGGGAATAGTGCCCCATCATTGGTACCAGTTGGGGGAATAGTGCCCCATCGGTGGTGTCTGTGAGAAGAATAATGTCCCACTGTTGGTGGCAGTGCAGGAATTATTTCCCCATTGAAGGGGTCAGTGGAAGTAATATTGCCTCAAGGGCCAGATAAAGATATGCAAAGGGCCACATTCAGCTCCTGGGCCACAGTTTGGCAACCACTGCTCAATACAAAATAAAAAATATGGCCTATAGTTCTACTCCAAATTATCCCGTGTTTTTCGGGCGCCCCTCAGACACCACTCCTATGGGCACATTCGTGGGAGTTTGGTGCACCTCCTGACCCCTGACCAGACAAATGCAGCCCCATTCCTAACGGAGAGCATTCGTTCTTACAGCGAGCCTGCCTATAACTGGGGACAAGCCTAGTGAACCCAGGAACAAGGATCCCCCAGTGCCCTCCTTCTTACATTGGGAATTACCGACCACTTCCCGGGTCAAGGGGACATCAGAACGGATCAGTACAGACACCACACTTCATATGTGGCAAAAGTGATGGAGCCGCCCCTCCACACACCAGAGTAATGCCCGGAGGGCTGTCCTCTCTCCCGGTGTGCAATGGTGACAAGGCTGTGATGATGCGGAGGGTTCGGTGTGATCATCATCATCGTCGTCAGCCGGGAATTCTCCACACGGCCTCTCCTCACCATAACAACAATAGAGCAGAAATCACATCTGTGACTGACTTTCCGCGGCCCACACGTCTCCCAGAGAAGGAAGGGGCGGCCTGACACAACTCACACCAACTATCTCACAGCAACATCTCTCACTGCGGTTCCTGTGGTAGCTAATAATGGGGGAGGGGAAGGTAGCAACAAGGGCGAAGGTTTCTCCTTCCTGGGGAGGGAGAATTCCCCACCAACACACCGTGTGGGCGACTCCCCTTTCCCACCACACAAGAAGTCCCTTCTCCCTGGAGGGAACGGGGCGGGCACGGCTCCCTTTATGACGTCACGTCAGCAGCAGCACATTATTTTGGTTGGAGGTCGCAGCGTCCGGGCACTGATTGGACGGACGGAGGTTGTGGTGTCCGGGCACTGATTGGACGGACGGAGGTGGCAGCGTCCGGGCACTGATTGGACAGAGGTTCCCATCCTATTCCCGCGGCGCCTCGCTCCCCTGCTGCTGCGTGCTCGCCCCATCCCCCCTCGCATACACACAGAGGCGGGGGCGCGCATTCACCGTCCGCTACAGGTCCCCTGGCCAAACAATGCGCGAGCGTGGATGTCATTGTGATGGGGGCGGTGTGTCAGTTCCCGTTGTTGACCCCTTCAGTGGCAGAGGGCGTACAGTCCCCCGCCCCGCCTTCCCTCTCTGCCATTAACCAATTCAGGCCCGCACCTAGGGCTCAGGAAAGGGAGAAAATTAGCAGCAGATTCGCTGTTAGGAAGAATATGTTTTATCTCCTGACCGCTTTTGGCTAAAATGATAAATTATCCCACATTATAATATAATAGGGTAGAGATGCAAGGGAAGGGTTAATCAGGATGCTGGTAGCTGCAGCTATGATCTTATACCGACCTCAGTGTCCTCACCGTGCAGGATATCCTCCATAGAAGACAGGAAATCCATCACCAATAATATCACAACCAGTCCACCAACCCTGGCACACAAGCGGTTAATGATCAGCCCATCCGTACCCTGAATGGGTTAATCTAGAGTGTTATTAACCATTGTAATTCCCCATCACATGCTGGGAAGAATTTATCTTCTTCTTATACAGGATTTTTGCCGTGACGGCAAAGGAAGAGTTAACCCACAGCGTTATTAACCATGTACTCCCTGATCAGCTTTATAATCACAATATTCCCCAAATAGGATCACCACCCTCTCTACCTGCATGGAAGGGGTTACCCCATGGCCTCATTAACATGTACACCCCGGTCACACACTGGACTATTCATCACAATATCCCACACTCAGATTGCATGGAGAGAGTTAACCATTAACACATGACAAATGAGTTTATAATCACAATATTCCTCAAATAGATTCACCACCTACTATATCTGCATGGAAGGAGTTAACCCATGGCATTAGAATGTCTAATCGCCAATCACACCTCCAGTATATTTTATCATCACAATATCCCACACTCGGATTGCATGGAAAGAGTTAACCTATACTGGCATTAACCATGTAATCACTGATCACACACTGAGTGGGTTTATCGTCTTAGTGTTGCCCACTGATTGCATGGAAAGAGTTAACCTATACTGGAATTAACCATGTAATTACTGATCACACACTGACTGGGCTTATCCTCACAGTATTGCCCAGTGATTGCATGGAAAGAGTTAACTTGTTGCATTACTAACCATGTAATCCCCAATCACATGCTGAATAGGTTTAACAACTGAACATCCCCTAATATAAACACCAATTACTATAACAGCTCTGCAAGGGTTAACCTGTGATGTAATTAACTGTGTAATTCCCGCTCCTATGCTGAGATTTTTATATTAAAATATAGGATTAGTTATATTCACAATATTTCCTGCTAAAATTGGCAGGAGTTAAGGCTAGGTTCACACCTATGCAGTTTGCGTTTGATCCGTTTCTGCAGTGCGTTTTGGCACATGCATTTTTGATGCATTTTGCATTTTTTTTCTTGTTGCTAGGCAGATTTAAAATGCAAAACGCATAAATGCATAAATGCTGCAAAAATGCATAAAAATGCACTACATGCTTTTCTGCAGTGTTTCCATTGAAGTCTATATAACCAAAAACTGAGCTTTTTGCGTTAAAAAAAGTCCTTGACAATTCCAAAAAATGCACAGATGTGAACATGTCCCATAGGAAATCATGTTAAATGGACTGCAGTGCATTTCTGAAAAACGCTGTGGAAATCTCTTAGGTGTACACCTAGGGTAACTGATAATTGCATCATTAACCGTATGCTCTCCAATCGCTATAAGATTACCACCTGCATGGAAGGAGGTCACCCCTGGCATTATCAGCCGTGTAATCCTCCATCACACAACCAGTGGCTTGATAATCACAATATTCCCCGCTACTCTAGCATGGAAAGAGTTAACTCCTACTGTAATTAACCATGTAATCCCCAGTCACATGCTGAGTAGGTCTAGAATCACAATATTTTCCGATGGTTGCAGTGTTAATTTGTTGTCTTGTTAACCGTGTAATTACATGCTGAGTGGATTTACTGCCTAACATTTCCCCAATATGATCACCAATTACTAGAACTGGAAGGGTTAATCCGTGGCATAATTAACGGTTTAACCTTGCATTGCATGCTAAAAGATTTTGTACTATTATTACTGTTGTTGTTATAAGGGTTTATTTATAAGCACAACAGTGCCCACATGATGTGATTGCAGAGTGAACTGCATTATTAACCACTATATTCCCCAAAAGGATCACTATAACGGCATGGAAGGAGTTAACTCTTTATCAGCCCTGTAAACCCTGAGCACATGCTGCCTGGATGTAAAACTGAAAAACTCCCCAATATTCTCACCAATGACTATAATGGCATTGAAAGGGTCACCCCATGGCATACCCAACCATGTAATCCCTGACCGTACACGGAGTATATTGTCATAACATTCCTCACACACTATGACTGCAAGGAAAGAGTTAACCTCCGATCACACAATCTGTAGGTTGGTAATATTCCTCCCGCTGCA